TAGTCTCTGGAGGAGGCTGTAATGCTGGGAAAGGTGGAAGGAAAGAGAAGAAGAGGATGACCAGCAGCAAGGGGGAGGGACTGAGTTACAGAGGTGATGGGCACACCGTTGGAAGACATTAAAGACCAGGTTAGGGATAGATCATTGTGGAGAAAATCGATGTGGTTGCTAGGAGTCGAAAATGACTTGATGGCACATAATCAATCAATCAATCAATCAATCAATCAATCAATCAAATCTATTAATAGACGATTACTGTCAAGAATGGTGGTAATCTCTCCTTCTCTCACAAGGTACAATATTGTCATTTTCCTTCTGTCTGGTTCTTGTAGCATCCAGTTTTTTTTCTTTTTTTTAAAACATCACACTGCTTAGTAGTAACAGAAGGTGGAAATCTTAGTGGGCAGGACTGCCTGTTGCAGAGGACAAATACTTTTGCAGCAGCAAGAGCAGAAAGATAGGATTTGAATTCTGAATTTTAAGTGCGATATTAAAAGTGCTGTTATGGAGTCCTGATGCTCTGGTGAAAAAGACTGTAAGCAGAATGGCTTTTAAACGATGGAAACAGGTGGGCTCAGGGTAGTCAAACGCTCTGTGCAGAACATTTTTGCGTTGCAGTAGTTAATCATAAATATGCTTATGTATCTCTCTGTATGGTACAATCTCCCTTTCTCACGCACACATGCACACGAGGTCCGTTGCTGGCTCTTCCTGTCACAAGACTCATGAATCAGCTGCTTATGTCAACATTCTTGCATTTTTCTACATGCCTGGAGAACACCTGGATATTTGTGTTGCCGTCTGCCGAAACCATGGCACTCTGCGCGCTTGCCAAGTGCTCTGCTTCAGAAGAGGCAAAGGCAAAGAAGTGGACCACCTTTTTCTGATTCAGCTGGCGACTGATCCTGTGCCAGCACATTGCCCAGGAGAGGGTTATTTCAGAACTTCTGATGAGTCTTTATACTTGTGTAATTGGCTGGGGAACCAAACGTCTGAACCACAACAGCTGGTGATTTCAAGGTGGGCTCGGCTGGGCTTGGGGATGTCCTCCTCTACTAAAACGTATATTTTTGCCTTCAAGTCAGTCGTGACTCCTGGTGACTGCCTGGACAAACCCACACAGTTTTCTTGGCAAAGTTTTTTGGAAGTGGTTTGCCCTTGCCTCCTTCCTAGGGCTGAGAGAGAGCGGCTGGCCCAGGGTCACCCAGCTGGCTTCGTGCCTGAGGCGGGACTAGAACTCACGGTCTCTGGTTTCTAGCCTGGTGCCTTAAACCACTACATCGAGCTGGCTCTCTCTGGACAAGCGCATGAGGAGTAAGTTAGTGACAAGTTAAATCCTGTTGGTTTCATTGGAACAGCTGCGTGCCCAAGTAGCACCAAAGACGCGTGCAAGAGATGAGTACAGAAGAGAGAGAGAGCAAGAGATGTGTAGTTAGGCTACTGCTACAAACATTTGGTGCAGCGCAGGGCACCAATCTGAATGTCCCCACTGTCGGACTGGTGGGTCGCTGTGGAAGTTGCAGGACTGGAAAGGAATGTAGTCCTGACCTTAGAGAAGGTATGAAACAGCCATTTAGCAGGGAAGGAAGGAAGGATTTGGAGAAGAGATTACCCAGTCTTGAGACAGAAGGA